CCTTAATAAAGGCGCTAGCAATATGTTCAATAATGAACATGTTATTTTAAGACAAATGCCAGTTTTCTCTTTAAAATCATAAAAAATTATATTAAAATTAAAATAATGCACAACTGTGCATATTAAACATGCTGGCAGGATGTTCTTAAATTGATAGTTTATTATTCCAAGCCTGTTATAGTTTAAATGCTTAGAATTATATACGAAGGAAAAAACACGGATAATAAAAAACCCAAAACTAAAATAGTTACAATGTAGAATATTAAACACATTTTAAAATACATTTTATGATACACGGCACCGTATCGATAATAAAAATATATTTGTAAAATAATAAAAATTCTACGTGCCGGGATTTTATTGTATCTTTTTTTTGTAAATACAGTCCACTCAAACAAGCTATAACAGGTAATAAATATTGTAAATTAATTAAGTTAGTTTTAAGATTATTTTTGTATAAATACAGCATACTTTTTAAAATAAAATCAGTATCGACTGAATACTCAGATTGTAAACTTCGTCTTCTATTTTTATCCAAACATTTTTTGGTCCTTCGAGCCGGATCATTTTTGGTCCTTCGAAGCCAAGGAAATTGTATAAAAATATAAATGAGTCATAGTGATCCCCCACCAGAGGTAAGACACTTGACTTAAACATTTTTTTAGAGCCTTACAACCTCTAAAAACACATTTTTATATATGAGTCATAGTGATCCCCCACCAGAGGTAAGACACTTGACCTAAACATTTTTTAGAGCCTTACAACCTCTAAAAATACATTTTTATATATAAGTCATAGTGATCCCCCACCAGAGGTAAGACACTTGACTTAAACATTTTTTTAGAGCCTTACAACCTCTAAAAATACATTTTTATATATAAGTCATAGTGATCCCCCACCAGAGGTAAGACACTTGACTGAAACATTTATTTTAGAGCCTTACAACCTCTAAAAATACATTTTTATATATGAGTCATAGTGATTCTCCATCAGAGGTAAGACACTTGACTTAAACATTTTTTTAGAGCCTTACAACCTCTAAAAATACATTTTTATATATGAGTCATAGTGATCCCCCGCCAGAGGTAAGGCACTTGACTTAAACATTTTTTAGAGCCTAACAAACTCTAATACTAAAATTATTTTAGAGCCTAAAAAACTCTAAAACTAAAATCTTGTTAGAGCCTTACAAACTCTAACACTAAAATTTTTTTAGAGCCTTACAACCTCTAAAAATACATTTTTATATATAAGTCATAGTGATCTCCCACCAGAGGTAAGACACTTGACTTAAACATTTTTCAGAGCCTAACAAACTCTAATACTAAAATTATTTTAGAGCCTAAAAAACTCTAAAACTAAAATCTTGTTAGAGCCTTACGAACTCTAACATTAAAATTTTTTTTTTAGAGCCTTACAATCTCTAAAAATTAAAGAGTTCATAAGAACACTCTGAGTTCTTATAAATAAATATCAGGCAGTCCGTAAGGAACACCGAAATTATTGGCTGAACCTAACAGCCTTTAGAATCAAAAAGGTATTGAGGGAATATTTGTGGCCAGAGAATTAGGATTGTTGTTCCTCTAATTTTTTTTTTTTAAAAAAAAGGGAATATATATAAAAAATTTTTTTTAATTTTGGCAAGCCAAGAGGATATTCTAATAATATCACTCGAAGCTGAAGAGGAATACTGTCCAGAGAAGTATTCCATTTTTATCCAAAATATACTCCAACAGACACAAAGAAGCAAAGTCCCAAGCGTCTTACTATTTAAGAATACAGGAGACGGCAGAGACCGATAAGACCACCTTCACCAAAACCTCAACAAAAGAAGAAGAAGAAGAGATCGGGAAAAGCATTCCAGAAAAGGAAACAGATAGCTATTCTCTATCAAAAACTACATTTGCAAACCGATAAGGAAGATAGATTGGTTGTGCAAGAAGAAATTAATCAAATAAATAAGAAAATAAATGAGATAAAGGGTAACACAGTAAAGCTAAAAGATTTACAATTTCATCACATTTCTGGGCACACGGCATTAGGATTAACTACAATCACAATAATCCTAATAATGATTTATCTCACTCGAGCAGCGCTAATAAGAAGAAAACTGTTGTCTATTTCTATTAAAGGCCCTCGGCAGACTGTTCAAAAATGAACAATTAACATAATCTATATTTGTTTATTAATATATCTATTATATATTATATCTTAATTAATTAATTAATCTTAAAAAAAATATATTAAATAATGAATCATGTTAATTTATATAATTTTAAAATCCTACAATTATTTTTTATAAAATTGAAATACTTAAAAAAAAAAGTTTTGTTAAAAGAAAATACCTATAAAACTTATATATACTATATTATTAAATTAAACTTTTATATTATACTTTTATATTAAGTCATGCTGCCTTAATTAAGGCGCTGGCAGTATGTTCAATAATGAACATGTTTTATTATTCAAATTACTAATATTCAATTTCATATTCATCTTATATTAAGCCATTCTGCCTTAATAAAGGCGCTGGCAATATGTTCAATAATGAACTTGTTATTTTAAGACAAATGCCAGTTTTCTCTTTAAAATCATAAAAAATTATATTAAAATTAAAATAATGCACACCTGTGCATATTAAACACGCTGGCAGGATGTTCTTAAATTGATAGTTTATTATTCCAAGGCTGTTATAGTTTAAATGCTTAGAATTATATACGAAGGAAAAAACACGGATAATAAAAAACCCAAAACTAAAATAGTTACAATGTAGAATATTAAACACATTTTAAAATACATTTTATGATACACGGCACCGTATCGATAATAAAAATATATTTGTAAAATAATAAAAATTCTACGTGCCGGGATTTTATTGTATCTTTTTTTTGTAAATACAGTCCACTCAAACAAGCTATAACAGGTAATAAATATTGTAAATTAATTAAGTTAGTTTTACGATTATTTTTGTATAAATACAGCATACTTTTTAAAATAAAATCAGTATCGACTGAATACTCAGATTGTAAACTTCGTCTTCTATTTTTATCCAAACAATTACTCTCAGATACTTGATTGCTTGTTTTGATGTGATTCGCTCTTTGCCAATAGTTATTTTAATGTACTCGATCTTTTTCCTGCTGCTTACAAGAAGGACTTCAGTTTTATGATCAGCAAGTTTGAGGTCTACACTTGTGATCCAGCTCCTTACAATAGCGACCGTATCGTTGCATGTTGATTCCATCTTTTTTATATGTTTCCCTCTAACCACCAGGTTGCTAAGGAAATTACGCAAGTAATATTCCTTATTTGTTATTCATAACTGTATACAATTTCCATGAGAACTGTGACCGTTCCCACGACTAAGCTGAGCGATATCTAATCGCTACTTTAGTGGAACTTAAGGTATAGGGCATTATCGTGGGAATTGTATGTACCAACACCTTGCCAAATTTGTATGAAAACCCAAATTTTTAGTAATAAAATTCAATTCAATTCTAGAATTCATTGGAATTTTAATTTGTTTCCAAGTGCGGATTAAGACTCAAAGCAAATAGGTTAAAGTGCCTAGTTGCTCACCACACTAAATAAGATTATTATCCAAGAAGCAGGTCACCTGAAGTTGGTTCAAGTGCCCAATTCAGGATTCGCAATAGGATCTGGTTCAAGTGCCGGATTCCTAATCATAAGCAACACTGAATCGATTCAAGTGTTGATTCAGTTTCAATACCAAACGAGCTATTAAACATTTTTGGTGACCCCGACGTGAGCCACCGTGAGGACCACGTTATCATCAATCCAGTGCACCTGCTCAGAAGGGTGTTATCACTGTATTTACGACCATGGAAGTCATGGCAGAATTTGTTGCCAAACAATCAGAATTGGGAAAACAAATCCAACAACTGATCACTAACTTTAAAAAGGATTCAAAAGAGAGGAAGCCATCCCCTCGCTACTATGAAAAGCGTATTAGGCGACTGAACGAATTATGGTAACACTTTGATCATAACGACACACAAATCAGGAATTTGCCAGATTTGGATACGAGCGTTTCATACTTTACCAACAACTACTTTCAGGAAATATATACTTACTAATACTTAATATACTTACTAAATTCTTGCAATTGGAGGAAATCAATCAAACGGATGACAAACGGATGATTACTGATGCAGAAAAGAAATGTGAAGAATCTTTTGCTCAAAATACTCACCACAATCATGAAAGGCGATTTGTCGTGAAACTACCATTTAAGGAGGATACAACAGTTCTTGGTGAATCCATGCAGATGTCGATGAATCGGTTTTTAGCCTTGAACGTCGGCTGTTGAAGAATTCTGAACTAAAGAAGACGTACGTTGACTTCATGCGAGAGTACGAACATCTCGGCCACATGGAAAACATCAATCAACATTACATTTTACCACATCATTGTGTAATCAAGGCAGATAGTACTACAACAAGGTTTCGAGTGGTGTTTGATGCATCTGCAAAAACATCAACCGTGTTGTGGATGCACCTTCAATAGGGCGTCATTGAAGTCAGGTCGACCGGTAGTAATTAAAGAGCGCTCGTTAAGAGAGATGCAGAAAATAAACCGGTCGATTCTGATGAGCGGGAGTCTTCTTTTCGAGAAAGCAGAAGCAGTAACAAGAGGAGAAAGCACGTGTGCGTTTTGAGAGAGAACTTGTGGAACCCTCGTGGCGATAATCAGATTTGAAGAAAGAATTGAGTGAACGTGGTTGATATTCGGAACAATCTTATAAAATATAATTGAATTTTGATCTTGAGTATTGACTATGAAATAAATAGAGAAACAAAAGATAGTAGATAATATTAAAAAAAAGGCATTAGAAAAACATAAATATATATTATAATAAATAAAATAAAATTAAATTAGCAATAATAATACAATGTACTATATAAATTAATTTGATTAAGAAAGAATTGAGTGAACTTGTTTAACACCACGGAACAACCGGTGTCTCACTCAATGATATCATGCATAATGGTCCAGTCGTGCAGAACGAACTCTCATCTATTTTACTGCGTTTCAGGAAACCACGCTTCGTTTTTACAACAGATATTGAAAAGATGTATCGGCAGATACTAATTAATCCAAGAGATGAACATCTCCAAATCATTATTTGGCGAGAGTCACCAGAAGAAAACTTGTGCTATTACAAATTAAAAACGGTAACGTATGGCACAAGAGCAGCGCCGTATCTGGCAACTAAGTGTCTACATACCCTGGCCAGAGAGCATACCATTAAATTTCCTCTCGGTTCCGCTACACTCAGCAAGCATTTTTATGGCAATGACGGTTTAAGTGGCTCAGACAGTCTCATGGAGGCAATTGCAACAAAGGATCAACTTATTAAAATATTGGCGACAGCTGGTTTCAAACCTCGCAAGTGGTGCGCAAATAATGCCCAATTACTTCAAGGACTCGCTCCAGAAGATCAAGAAGTAGATCTCGATGTCAGCAGTGAGTCACATAAGACAGTAAAAACTCTAGGCCTTATCTGGCTACCAAAATCTGATCAATTTTCAATAAAAACTAACGGACTTACACACAGCAAAATAACAAAGAGGACCGTAAGTTCCGAGTTGGCGCACATTTTTGATCTACTTGGATTAATGGCTCCCGTAGTAGTGAAGGCTAAAATATTTGTTCAAAACTTTCGTGGGATTTTCGTGGGACTGATTCTGAGATAACATTGCATTGGATCAATTCAAAACCAGTAATTCAGTAAGATTCAGCAATTAACACTAAAGAAACAGTGGAGGCATGTCAAAACTAAACAAAATCCAGCTGATTTATTATCCAGAGAGTAGATCCAATTTACATTCAGAAGAATGCAATGTGGTTTTATGGGCCACTTTTCCTTCACGGAAATCAAGAATGCTGGCCCCAACCATTCCGTCAGGCATTGATAACATCCAACCATACACAAGCAGAATTCAAAAGGAAGGTACTGGTGTGTTTACAATTTCAAATGACGATGAACTAATCAAAATGATTTATATGATAAGGCATGGAAACTCCTTCATAAAGTTGCAACGAATTCTTGGCTATGTGCTGAAATTCATCAAAGGGTTACGTAATAAGAGCAAGCACAACGACATCAATTTGACACCATTAGAACTGGATAAGTCATTACTCATAATTATAAAAACCATACAGCTAAGTGATTTCAATAAAGAACGGCATCAACTCTTGAAGAAAAAGGATCTGAATGGAAGCAGTAGTCTCCATGGCCCTTCTCCATTGGAAGTATGCTGAACTCCAGGCCAATAACTCCGTTGACTCTGCTGCTCTCATATCAGGACACTTCTTAATAAAATAATCACTAACAGCCTTTCCAAGTAGCTCAGAAACTACAGCCAAACAATCGCTTTTAACCAGATAGAAGCTGGTAAATCATCTAAAAACTGAGTTCTGGTCAAGATGGTCAAAAGAGTATCTTAATGAGTTACAGTGTCGCACTAAATGCAAGAACCAATCACCTGATGACAAAGAAGGAATGCTGGTAATCATTCAAGAAGATGACGCTCCTCCGCTTCAATGGCCTCTAGGCAGAATCATCAAATGCTATTCCGGTAACGATGGAAGAATCAGAGTTGTAGATATCAAAACGAAAAACGGGATTTGGAAGCGTCCAATACATCGCCTAGCACCACTACTGTCGGAAGAGTGGTCAACACCCATGATACAACCTGATAGATGTGATGAAGAAACGCCTAAAAAAATAGCAAAACTCAACATGCAGCAACCGAAGTAGCAGACTATGATTGACTGACTTCAACCGGGGGCAGAATGTCCAATTTGGACATAATAATCAGCATAAAATCAACAAATATTGTATTTTAAGTTAATTAGATTTATTTAATTATTTTTGTTCAACATAATTACAAATTATTTATTTCAATCAAATTTATTCTATTATTTTTGTTTTGTTGTCAAAACAAATTTTTATTCTCATAATGTTAATGACTTGATGTCTTAGCCTTGTACGGTGGGTTAAGATATCAACATTTATCAAAAACAACAACAACAGTTGTATATCACATTAGCACACTTTGCTCATCATATGAAACTGCAGATAAGCCATGCATTTGGCATGTGCAATATTTTAATACATAACATTATGAGAAATGAAAATTCGTTTGTGCAAGGTCAGTATTATAATTATTAAAATAATAATTATGTTTGTAAAGCAAGCTGGTATATGTACATAGTTCAAGGTTAAAACAAAGTAAGTTTATAAGCATATACCTGGTTGCTAAGGAAATTACGCAAGTAATATTCCTTATTTGTTATTCATAAATGTATACAATTTCCATGAGAACTGTGACCGTTCCCACGACTAAGCTAAGCGATATCTAATCGCTACTTTACTGCAGCTTAAGGTATAGGGCATTATCGTGGGAATTGTATATACCAACACCTTGCCAAATCTGTATAAAAACCTAAATTTTTTAGTAATTCAGCAATTATAAATAGGAACTGGTTCAAGTGCAGGATTCCTAAGCAACACTGAATCGATTCAAGTGTCGAGTCAGTTTCAATAAATAACGAGTTATTGAACACATTATATCCATAGTTCAATATATTTATATTATATAAATTATGTATATGTTGCTGTCTAAACCTATTATAATCGTGTATACGTTTATATCTGTCCAAACCTATTATAAGCGCGTATACGTTTATACCTGTCCAAACCTAAATATGATGGAGGCAAGGATCCACTAATTTTTATTGAGCGAGTCGAGGAGTTGGTAGCAGTCTATTGTTTAAACATCAACACCATACCACACACCATGCCAGAACTCCTAAAACACAAAGCGTTGATCTGGTACAGGAACAACAATAAACAATGGAAACAATGGAATAAGTTTTTCCTACCAGCAAGGTATTTTGAGAAATTGGAGAATGAGATCCGTGCGCTCAAACCAAAATAACGTGAGATATATAGCGATGGAGATATAGCGATGGAGAATAATAGCAAACAGTGCACTGCTTTTACTGTACCAGGTAGAGATCTGTTCCACTGACGAGTGTTACCATTCGACTTGCATTCCGCACCGGCCACTTTCTAACGGGCACTTGATCAAGATATAGGCGCGGATCTGGATCCTCATGCATTCACATATCTAGACGACATAATTGTCATAGGTACAACATTTACACTTCATCTTAAAAATTTACGAGAAGTTTTACGGCGTCTACGTCGCAGGCAAGAATTGGGGATGTGCACCAAAGTCACTGCGATGGATATACCCAGCAATTATCAGATCTATGGTTATTTACGGATCAATAGTCTGGCAAAACTGCACAAAACAGCAAAGCGTTATCAACACACTCAACAAGGTATAACGTCTTGCATGTGTAAGCGTAACAGGAGCAATCAAAACATGTCCCACGTCATCAATTGAAGTACTCATGGAACTCACACCTCTTCACATCCATGTGCAATCACAGGCGAAGAGGAGTGCTCTTAGAGTAATCACAAACAGGATGACTGGTCTTGAAACTATCAGCAAAAAATCTAATTCTCTGACTGCACAAATCCAAGAAACTGAAATGCCAACGGACAGGATGGTTGTAAAGTATAACTTTACAAAAAACTTCAAAACTGAACTTGGCAACAAAAACAATTGGGAAGGCTTGTCCAAGACCCAAATAATAAAAGAAAATATGATAACATGGTATATAGATGGCTCCTTCACCAATGAGGGAGCTGGGGCTGATGTGGGAAGCACTGGGATATAATGCAACTATCTTTCAAGCGGAAATATACCGGAGTCGTGAAATCGAAAAGGGAAGCTAAACGTTGTAGCTGTTGGACTATTTAGTGACATATTAACCATGACCACACATAACGCTTTGTGTTTTTAAATGCATATTTAATTATTTCAATACGTATTTGGCAAGTTGGATAGCGGCATGCTCAACACATGAATTTGTGTTAAGTGTTTTCCGTGATCATATTGCGAGCAATTGTGTATGCAATAAGATTTGCCCTAAATACAGTTGGTAACCAGATGTGTGCCACTGTGAGGAAAACTATTATTATAAAAAGTGACCAATGACATAATGTGTAAATTAAACATATACAGAAAAAACCAATAGTAGATAAGAAAATAAGCAGAACGCAAAGTATTATATAGATGCGTTCTTAGTATATAAGATGTACCGAACTTTCTTCGGAACTAGAACTTAAGTTAATAAGCAGTTCTAGGAGTGAGTCTTAATAGTAGAGTGCTACTATAATAATTATATTGTAAAACAAATATAAAATAAAGACTGTACAATTAACCAAATATAACAGTGCGTTTCATTCAAGTGTTGTGTCAATAGGCATTACCACAACTATCCAGACAACCACTAGAGAATATTGGGCAAATTTCATTAACCAATAACGCCTCATGCACTAGTTGGTATAAGCGGAAGTGGGATGTAGTAAAAAGAAGTCCAGAGCAATGAACAGCTATACAAACGTTTTCCACCATCTGATAAATATTAGTCAGACAATCATTGGAAATTATTCGTCCCGGAAAATCTTTAGAATCGATTTATCCTTGAGAATTATGATGATCCGCATGCTGGACATTTCGGTATTCGGAAAACCATAATTCGCGTACAAACTAAGTATTACTGGCCTGGTATGGCTGGGGACTCGTGTAAAGCCGTGTGAACATTGCCAAAACCATAAACCAAGAGTCAATAAGCCTGCCGAAATGATGCTCACGTCCATTCCAGATGAACAGTTCGCTACGATCATTATAGACTTCATGGGTCTCTTGTCACGCTCAAGAAAAGGTAAAACTATTTTACAAGTAACTTTTGATAAATTTTCGAAGTGGACAGAATTGATATCGATGCGAAGAACTACTAGTGAAAACACTATTGAAGTCATTAGAAACCGTATTGTTGTAAGATCTGAAGTCCCAAAGGATATCATTACAGATAATGGACCCCAGTTCACCAGCAAATTGTTTACGGCATGTCTCGCTAAGATGGACATCAAGTATCAAATAGAACAATTAAAACAATGCTAGCCCAAATATGCCATGGAGAACATCGTCGTTGAAATGAAATCAACACGGTTATATCAGATACTACAAAGTATCTACTTTAATGGAAGTTTAGTTGTTTGTAGGATCGATGACCCCAAAGCAGTTAGGTCATGTCTCTGCTGGTTTTGTGGTCGCCAGCAACTAGGCGGGGTGAAGGAAAACACCCGGGGTTTGAATAAAGATATGAAACAATCTATAGTTTTTGTCCCTAGTCTAAAATTTTTATATAAGGATGTATGGTGTAGTATGTGTGAATGCATGAATGAGACCCGAACAACCCCCCAATCTACAGTGGAACAGCTATGCCTGTAGGAACTTGGTCACGGGGCTAGTGATGACCTTAATGGCGAACTGCGGATACCAGGCGACCTCCGCTTTGAATTTGCCTTCTGTCGGTAAATAGGCTCTGCCGATGGCGACTTTATACTTCCCTAATACTCGTGGGATATCATATGGATACATCTAATAAATAAGCTAAAGGGGATGATGCTACCTTTATCGCATCAAACACTACTGCTGTCGGGCAGGGAATTAACAACGACCAGTCGACTGGTCTTTGTAAAATTGAACTCAATGCAGAAGAGGAGGTTAAAGGCTTACATGAGCCAGGGACACTCTAGGGATGTGGCCCTAGACATGGTGTCTAAACTTCCAACTCGTGCGCCAGCTAAAAGGGCTTTATCTGATGACATGGTCATGCCAGCTGGTAAGAAACCAAAACAGAACACCTCGATTCAGGGATCGAGTGCAATCTGCCCCCTAAACAGGGAACAGATTGCACAGCTACAGGAGGCCATAATTGAGACTGCCATAGAGTTGGCGTCAGACGAGGTTAAACCAGAATTTGAAGGTTGTTTCGCACGGGATGGCTCATGGTGGTGTGCACAAATAACCAAACGGCTGAATGGGTCCGTAAAAATGCAGCTATTGCAATAAATGCTAAACTGGGCGCCAAAGTGGTTGAAGAGTCGGAGTTCCCAAAAACACACTTGGTGCGAGGATACTTTCCACACAGTTGGGATTTTGAAAACACCAAGGTTCTTGCCACAATTGAGGCCCAGAACAGAATTAAAGCAAGCACCTGGAAAGTATTACAGCGGACCGCAGAAGGTTCACTACTCCACATCGTCTTTGCTGTCGACGATGCATCCTGGAACTCATTGGTCCAGAGTGGAGGTAGAATTGCATATCGCTTCAACCATGTCAAGCTACTGCTTAAAACTAACAGTATAATAAAGGAAGGGCAGCCAGAACAACGGCCTGTGGAACAAAAGGTTCCAAACAAACTTCAGATCACAAGGACGGAGAAACAGAAAGAGGAGCACGTGGTTCCACAATCAATACTTACGTCTACTGTGACTCCCAATGAGGCCCCAACTACTAGTAGAGCCGCCATTCAAAAAAGGCTTTCGATGCGGCCACGTGTGGGTGAAGTATTAACAACTCCCAAAGAGCACCAGAAGGAAAGAGGGCCACGAAGAGCACGACTTCAGAAGGAAGTCGAACGCTCTCTTAATAAAACTCAACCAAAATGAGCACCATAGGGGTGTTACAGGCGAACCTGCACCACGCGAAAGGAGCATTGGCTATCTTATGCAGGACCTTCGCCACAAAAGGACTGGCCATAGCGCTTATCCAGGAGCCATGGACAGTCGGTGGGCATATAAAAGGCCTTCAACATCAATCAAGTAAGTTGATATATAAACGTGGCATAGAGTCGCCTAAAACTGCTATACTAGTAAACAAAAATGTTAACTGTATTCCAATTCCAGATTTCATCCAGAGGGACTTGGTGTCGGCCATTTTTGAGGTCCCGACACAGTGCGGAGCACAAGAGATCTTGATCGCATCGGCCTACTTTCCAGGCGATGCAGATGAAGCACCACCTGAAGCAGTCACAAACTTGGAAAGTTATTGCAAATCTAATAATTTACAATTTATAATTGGTTGCGACGCAAATGCGCACCATACCTTATGGGGTAGTACTAACATAAATAGAAGAGGGCAAATGCTTTTAGAATACTTTAGTAGTAATAACATCAGCATATTGAACAATGGTTCTGAACTCACTTTTATTAGTGCCATTAGAAGAGAGGTTCTTGACCTCTTTCTAGTCAATTTATCTCCAATTATGTTGATAATTGGAGGGTCTCAAAAGAGGTTTCTTTATCTGACCACCAACATATTCTTTTTGAACTGCATAAAACTAACATAAAAATTCGCCAGCTGCACGTAAGTGTATCAACTGGGAAATTTTTAGACTATCCTTAGCTAGTAAGGAGGATCAATTACTGAATTCAATCAGTCATATTGATGAAATTGAATTAGCAGCAGATCAAATAAACTCTGTTATCTCTCAGGTGCATGAAGATGCATGTAAGGTTGAACCATGTACATCCAGACGGGATGTGCCATGGTGGAACAGCAGGCTTGAAGAAACGCGCAGGGAGGTTAGGAAGTTTTTTAATTTAGCGAAGCTATCAGGGGTGTGGGTAGACTATAAAACATCCTTGACTGCCTACAACAATGAGATTAGAAAATCTAAACGGAAATCATGGAAAACTTTCTGTGACAGTGTTGACAACACTCCGCAAATGGCTCGCCTTCATAAAGTGTTGAGAAAGTCTCTTTCAAATGACATTGGTCTATTGAAAAAGAATGATGGTCTCTACACAGCAAATGGCAGGGAAACTTTACAACATTTACTACATGTGCACTTTCCAGGATCGATCTTATGTGATGCATCCATAGATAGGCGCACGTTAAGTTATGAACAACCAGACAATCGTTTAATGTCGCTATCTGGTATCATTTTTGACATTGATAAAATCAGATGGGCAGTTAATTCTTTCAGTCCCTTCAAGTCACCAGGAAGTGATGGTATCTTCCCGGCACTTATACAAAACGGCATAGACGTTCTTATCAATCCTTTAAAGGTGCTTTTTAGGGCTAGCCTATGCTGGAAACATATACCTGAAGCTTGGAGAGAAGTGAAAGTGGTATTTATACCAAAAAATGGTAATAGACCAAGTGATGACGCTAAATCGTATAGACCGATTAGTCTCTCATCCTTCCTCCTGAAAACTATGGAAAGACTCATAGATATCTATATTCGTACAGAACTGTCTAAAAGTCAACCTCTTCACAAAACTCAATTCGCTTATTCCAAAGGGAAATCTACCGAATTGGCCTTACATAACTTGGTCAGTAGAATTGAAAAGGCCCACAAAAACAAAGAAATTGCGCTTTGTGCATTTCTGGATATTGAAGGAGCTTTCGACAATACGAGTTATGGCTCGATCTCGAATGCCTTAACTAACAGCAATGTTGATTTTAATGTTGTTTCCTGGATTGAGGCGATGCTTCAAAACAGAAAAATTACATCAACCTTAGGTAGAACATCTGTAGCAGTTGAGGCCGCAAAAGGTTGCCCACAGGGTGGAGTACTGTCTCCCTTGCTCTGGTCAGTGGTTGTCGATGAACTTTTAATCTTATTGGAGAATATTGGTTGTGACGCCATTGGGTATGCAGACGATCTAGTTATAATAGTATAGAGAAAGCATGGTAGCAGTCTATCAGAAATCTTGGTAGGACACCTTCGACGCATTTTAGCGTGGTGCGAAGGTGAGGGTCTCTCCATAAATCCGGAGAAAACTGTTGTTGTGCCTTTCACACTCAAACGTAAACTAGACATAGGTCCCGTACGTTTAGGAAACACTAATATTTCTCTCTCCAGTGAAACAAAGTACCTAGGTGTTGTCCTAGATGGTAAACTCACTTGGAGTTCACACTTAAATAAAGTATATAACAAAGCATTAAAGGCTTTATGGACAACACGGTCCTATATAGGTAAAACTTGTGGCCTAAACCCAATGATTATATTTTGGATATATCAGGCAGTAGTACGTCCTATCATGACATATGGTTGCCTGGTTTGGTGGCGAAAGGTCACACAGGCTGGATCTATTGCTGTTTGCATGAAGCTCCAGAGATTAGCGTGTCTCTTAATGACTGGTGCTATGAGGACAAGTCCAACTGCAGCACTTGAGGCTATACTTGGATTGACACCTCTACACATACACATTCAATCTACGGCTGCGCTTAGTGCGCTTCGACTAAAACTCCACATGAACAAGGGTTGTCTTGACTATGGTCATACAAAAATATTAAAAACATTTGGAGCACATAAAATTCCTCAATGCGATGGAGACTATACAACAGAACTCCATCGTTTTGGCAAAAAATTTGAGGTACACCTACCATCACGTTCAACGTGGGGGAATGGAGGCCCATAGGTTGACCCAAAAATTTTGGTTTGGTACACAGATGGATCAAAGATGGATGAAGGCACTGGCGCTGGTATATATGGACCCAACACCAGCATTTCGGAGGCAATGGGCACATGGCCGAGTGTCTTCCAAGCTGAAATCCACGCAATCAACTTATGCGCAAGATTCAATTTAATCAAAAAATCTTCTGGCTCGAAAATCGATATTTACTCTGACAGCCAGGCTGCTCTTAAAGCTCTTTCTTCTTGGACTTTCAAATCAAAACAGGTCCTTGAGTGTTACGAGCTTCTGCAATCACTTGCGGCTCGGAATAAGGTAAGCCTTTACTGGGTTCCGGGCCACAGAGGAGTTTTGGGAAATGAAAAAGCTGATGAGCTAGCCAGAACTGCATCAAAAACTGCTTTTATAGGCCCTCAACCTTTTTGTGGAATAAACTGGGCAGGTACAAAACAGATTATCAAGGAAATGGAAAATCATATGCGGCTGGAGTACTGGGTAAACTTTCCAAGACTCAGACAAAGCAAAGCACTGATAACACCATACTCCTACAAAGACATTATTAAATTCTCAAAATGTAATTTAAGGTTGATAACGGGTTTCATTACATGTCACTATGGTCTGAAATATCACCTTCATAAACTACAATTATCTGCTAACTCAGAATGCAGATTATGCCTCGAAGATGAGGAAACGACTATGCACATTGTTTGTGACTGTCCAGCTTTAATAACGCACAGAAGAGACCTGTTTCATAAAGAATTTCTGTCACCAGAACAGATTAAGAACTCTTCTCTAGATTTAGTTCTAGACTTTATTCACAAAGCTTTAAGGGGCTTTGTTTAATCAATAGTGAAACTGGTACAATAGGTCACTTCTGGCCGCAGTACCGGCTGTTGAGCAATTTTCACGTCTACTCTCTCTCTTACTAAACACAACGAAAATTCGAACATGCTGTAAAAAAAGCAAATGAGAGAAGAACACGAATATGAATGCACAGTCATATCTTGGATTTAACTGTTTTAGATTCAATTGCTTTCAGCGCCGCCTGACTATCTACAAAAATCGTGATATTCGATGGACGAATTGTACTTTGTTGTATAAGATTAGCCGCTTTTTCAATAACATATATCTCAGCCTGAAAGACGCTGCAAGTATCAGGGAGTCGGTAGGACTGCCTTATCTGCATTTCTTTCGAGAAGATACCTGCTTCCGTACCGTTCTCCATCTTTGAGCTATCTGTGTAAATGGTAACTGCAGAGTTACGTGTCACACATCCAAGCTCCCAGCTATCTCTGGGAGATTCCATCCAATCTGGGTAAGGTGAAAGTAGGTATTTTAGTTTTCCGTGTGAACAGGACAAGCTCTGTCTTAGTAGGATTAATCCCTAATCCATTGCTTTTGGCCCATCTGGAGATTTCACCAAGTGCCGATTCCATTAGGTCACTAATCGTTGACAAGTATATGCCTGAGATTAGGATAGTAACGTCATTGGCGTAGGCAACAACCTTTGTTTTCCTAGCCCTAAAGATTTGCAAGATTTCGTCAACTACCAAGAGCCAGAGAAGGGGTGATAATACTCCTCCCTGTGGGGTGCCCCTTGTAGTCCTCCTGGTCACGGAGCCTGCTCCTATATTAGCGTTGATGACTCTGCTTTCAAGCATTCTGCCAATCTATGCTACTATGAAGTTCTCGACTCCATTTCTTCTAAGCGCCTCACTGATCGCGTTCGTGTTTACGTTATTGAAAGCTCCTTCGATGTCAAGGAATCCAGCCAGGGTGTAATCCTTTAGTTCGAGTGTTCTTTCAATAGTACCAACCGCTTCGTGGAGAACACTTTCTACGGACATACCCTTGCGGTATGCGTGTTGTGCCATGTCCATTGTGCGGATGCTGGTCTTTTCTCTAATATACAAATCGATAAGCCTCTCTAGTGTTTTCAATATAAACGAGGAAAGACTAATAGGTTTGTAATCCTTTGCAGTAGAGTGATTTAGCTTTCCTGCTTTTGGGATAAAAACCACCCTAACCTCCCGCCAAGCTTTAGGTATATATCCACCTCTTAAGCATCTTGAAAAGGACCCACGCTTTCAGCAGAGTGTTGCATCATGGCACGTATTATTCCGTCTGGTTCCGACGATTTGTAAGGATCAAAGGAGTTAATTGCCCAAGTAACTTTATCTCTGCTAATAATATTTACGACGTCAGTCCTAGCTGCTTGGACAGGATTTAACTGTGATTCACAGTCAATCGAGTCGGTGTAGCCTGGAAAGTGTGTCATCATTAAAATATTAAGGGATTCCTGACTCGAGTCTGTCCATAAGCCGTCTGGTTTTTTAATACTGCCCAGGGTTGTTGATTCTCCAGATAGTATCCTTCGTAACCTTGATGCTTCATTTATAGTCTCAATAGTTCCGCAGAACTGTTGCCAGGAATTTCTCTTTACAGTTTTAATTCTGCTTTTACACATATTAAAACTGGCTTTATAAAAATTTCCATGCTCTTCTTGCTGGCTGCCTTTTGCCTTGTTGCAGAGTTTTCTGGAAGTAGTTCTCAGCACCCTTAATTCCGCACTCCACCAAACCGGTTGAGGTTTGGTTTTTGGCCTAGTTAGGGGGCAAGCTGATTCAAAAGATTTGTTCAAGATACCCGTAATGCGACCGACCACTTTATTAATGTTTGCGTTCGCTTGACCAATTTTGACGTTTGTCCGAATTAGCTTTTGGTTCACAAGTTTCGAAAAATTTGACCAGTCGGCATTTTTGGGATTTCTGTATGGTCTTGGACTATTAACTTCTAGATTGATGGTGAAGTGTATCCGACAGTGATCCGAAAAGAAGTGCGTGTCTGATACTCTCCAATTGTCTACTTTAAAGTAATTAGAATCTGTGACCACTGTAATATCAATAACCTCTTCCCTAACCCTATTGCGAAATGTTGGCTTATTGCCTTTATTGCATAAAGTTAGGCTAGTAGAAAGAATAAAATCAAAAATGGACTCACCCCTGCTATTGGTATCACTGCTACCCCAGAGCTCGTGATGTCCATTTGCATCGCAACCAGCTATCAGAAACAATTCTCGTGATTTTGCATAAGCAGTCAGTGCTCGAAAGGCTGCTGGTGGTGGTTCTTCTTCATCGTACGGAAAGTATGCGGACGTTAGCAGCAAGCTGGGCCTGTGCCTTTGTTCACATACTACCGCTGTGAGATCTCCATTGCTGTAAGAAGTTAAGGGAAAAATATTAAGACCCTTCTTTGCAACTACACAGGTTCTAATCTTACCTTGTGCATGTGGAGTGTAGAGATGATACCCACTCAGTCCAAGTCCAATGACCTTACCTTTGACAAGCCATGGTTCTTGGACAATTGCCACGTCCACATCACGCTCCTCGAGGTACTTCATCAGGTCGAACGAGGCTAGGGTGGAGTGGTGCAGATTAATCTGCACTACCTCCAGCCTTCCCTCCGCTGGTTTGAGGCCTGTCACCTGGCACCCGAACCTTTAGAAAACCCATCCCGAATTTGATGGTTCCTACCTTTTTTAAAAAGGATAGTGCCATTTAGATGTTTTCAGCGGCTGGTTTTGCTGTCCTATGAGTTTCAATATGACAGCTCCATCGAATACTAGTTCCTCACTATCCGCTTCCGTCATTGCTGTCATCAGACGCGCTTCAACGAGTAGCCAATTCTTAGGCGTTATCTTCCCATCAGGGTCGACTATGTCTATGATGGCTACTTGCAGCTCCATTGGGGATTCAAAAGAGGCCGATGATTTAGGCTTTTTCGAGTCCTTCTGTGTCTCTTCCTCTGACCGTGCCCTTTTTGTGGCTTTGCCCGTCGAAGAGGAGGGTGTCCTTGAAGAGGATCCTGTGGGTTTGATCTTTGGTGGCAGCTTAAGGCTACTACTCTTGACCGCGCTTGTTAGATCCGTTTTATCTGCAGTTGAAGCGGTATCCTTAACGAACTTTGCTTCCACTTTGGATTGCCCTTGTTCCACTGATGATTGAGCTGTAGCGTTGTCCCTTTCGAACTTTGCTACAGCCTTTTCATGTTTCCTAATTAGGTGCTTTTCCCTCATTGTGAAGGAGGAAGAGTCCCTCGCCCTCATTTTTCTTAGATAGTAAACCGATGGCTTGTAGCCATTCCTGGCCTTCTGCTCCTTTGTTACTACCTTCCGCGGCTCCATCCCCGGCATTGAAGCATTGTATGAGGGGGATTGAGGAGGATCAAGTAGAAGTGTCTCAACCTCCGGACTGATGTCATCGACGTTGCTAACCTGTGATAGCGAGTCATCGTCGGTTGCTGTGTCGATGCGTAAGTTCAGAAATTGAGACCCAATTTGATCTCCCTCACCCTCCCCAACCAAGGTTCCTTGCCTACCCAAAGTTGGCTTGGATACCGCGCCTTGTCCAGTATTCCTAACGGAAACTTCTAAGTTAGAGGTTGAAATTAGATTTGTGTTTTGATTTGGATTTGAGAGGTCACAGGATCTCGACTTCAGATGCCCCTCTCACTCGCAACCTATCGCCGGTACTGGGGATCCGATTCCCTGCACCGTAATTTTAAAATTTTCTGTTGACATTAGTCATACAAAAACGCCTCCTACCTGTAAGGTTTCTTTAAAAGTCTGCCACCCTACGCACAAAAAGACTCGGACTCGATCGCCCCTGACATGGAGAAAACAGACGTTGTTGTGTGCCGCCCCTACTTTGGGGAAAACAGACGCACACAGGCAGGTTTTAGTTAGTTGCTCATCAGCCGGCCTGTCTAACATGGGAAGACCTATCAGGGGTTAGCATACTATTGTATGGCTACCCCCGTTAATGAAGCCCGACGAATCACTGCAGCCCTAAGCCCCCACACCACGGCAAGGTACCTACCAAGTGGGGGTAGGTACCTTTATTTTCTTTATAATTATCTAAATCATAAAGAAAATTAAAACATTTCTCATAATAACTATGAATTTAAAGTAAAAAACAGAACCAACACAATTTTTTAGGCTCAACGTATAATCGGACAAAATTAACCCATTAAGTACCAGGCAAGTTCAAACTTGGAATTTTATGGTGAAATTTTCAGAAAGGTCTTATTTTACGTTAAAAATAATCCCTGTAAAATTAACTTCTTTTTTGAAAAGTAGCACATTTTTCTCTCATCGATAGTACAAATATTTTTATATGTGTATTGTTCGCAAATATGATATTTAGTTACTTTTATGGTGAAGTAAGTACCATTGTAAGTTGTCTAAAAGACGTGTAAGTATAAAATTTTATGTTTTATGCTTTTCAAATATTTATTAATCAAAAAATATATTTGAAATACTGCATATGTATTATATTATGTTAACAGAAATAAGTTTACTTGCGTCATTGTCTACGATGAATGTAATATTGTTTATTTTCTTAGAAAATTTTAAAGCAATTTTCTATATGATCACTTAAATGGCACTTTTTATATATAAAAACTGTAGCTTTTGGTGTATGAACAATACAGTGGTGACGATTTTGAGTTTTCATAGGAGCGTGCATACCGGTTACACATGGTAAATTTCCCAGAAGATAAACATCTTCTGATGCACTGTGAAGTTTCTTTTTCAAATCATCGTAAGCGGTAGCTTCTGTAATGAACATTGGGTTCTCTGATGCAAGAAAAAGGTTTCTGGCAATGAAATTCTTGAAGTCTAACTGAGGCATCGGTTTTGTGTTGGTAGAAGCAGCGACAAAGCAATTTAGTTTCCAAGCGTTTACTACAGCGCTATCTAAACATTGTACCCATAATGGCCACCACCCGTTTTTGCTTCTATTCCCGATACGATAATTAGCAACTCTATTGTCATGTAAATCGACGCCGTTCATGTGTCTGTAGTAGCTGTTGATAATTTGAGGCTGCGGGATACCAACCTTTTTTTTCTTTGCTATAGCGTTGCTCATTTACTATGGGTTCAACGGAATTATTCAGTATGTTGCAATGGATACTCACAATGGCTCAATGGTTTTACAAGTTCCAATGTGAATAGTGGCGACTCAGGCATTTTTACAACACCACCATAATCTTGTGCATTTGATTCGTACAAGATCCGTATACAACTTCAATAGTATCAAAATATTCTCTCACAATTAGACAAACGGAATTCAAAAAAGGAGAACAAAATTCTAAAGTCGCATGCAATGTTTGTTGATATTTTATCATCGTCAATAATTTCGTTGTCCGATTCAACAGCAACATTATCAGGTGGCAAACATTATTATTCAATAGATAGCGGAGTGTCACTTGGCACTAATGAGTCATGTTTGCTCCAATTGTCAATAATATGCAATAGTTCCTGATTTCTTAAATATCTTAGGAACGATATTATAATTTTATTTACAGTAATAAATTGACGACAGAACTTTTAGCAAGAACAAATGTAAGCCCTGTATAAAATAATCAAATTTAGACTAACTCAACCTGCAATTAAATATCAAAATAGACTTATTATTATTATGCATAGTAAAAAAACAAGTTTAAACAAATCAGAAGAGTATGATATTTATTAGAGAGATTACTTTAATTTTATTTCATTACCCAACGACAAATATTTATATGGCATTGTTTCATCATTATATTGTTATGGGGCCCAGCGTGTGGTTCACCACACGCCTTTTTTTGCCGCTGTCTGGTGGCAAGTAACTGTTACTAAGGCGTCGGCAAAAATTACGACAATTATATTTGGACTTTTGTGAACACATGTTATAACAAATATATGTATTTTTATTTCTGTTTATATTAATTTTCATTTAATTAAAAAAAGCATTTTTTGGACACTTTTGATTTCGAACCAGGTAACCTCATGAACTATTGGAAAAAATAAATTCAACAACCGTTTTGTCTGAATGTCACGTTCAAAGTGAAGTAGTAAAAGTTAGAACTTTATTAAGTGCGTATATTACAGGATGGGAACAAAGTGGAAATTGAAACATTAAGTAGTCGATATTACTTCGTTGTTCCAACACTTCCCCTCGAAGTAGAAAGACTATCTGCCATACCCAACGCTGTTACGCATTTAAAGTGCTTAACACTGTTTAATCCTTTCGTGAGGACATCTGCTGGCATGTCTTCGGTTGGCATGTACGTAAACTCTATTTTCCCGCATTGGTAGCACTCTTTAACAAAATGATGACGTACATCGATGTGTTTTGTGCGCGAGCTGTACCCTAAGCACTGAATGAGTTTTTGCGCACTTTGGCTGTCATTGAATAAATTCACATTTTTACATGATATGCCTAAGTCTTTCAAAATACCTTGTAGATATATTTCTTCTTTCGTTGCTTCTGCCATAGCCATGTATTCAGCCTCGGTACTAGAAAGTGCCACTGTACGCTGTTTGCGGGCCTCCCAGTTTATTGCTGCACCAGCCAATACGAACGCGTATCCGCTATACGATCGCCTATCGATCAAATTCGCACCCCAATCTGCATCGGCTACACCATAAAGCGTTTTATTATTTTGTGTGTAAAGAAGTCCATATTTTTTGGTACCATTTAAATACCGTAAAATTCGCTTTGCAGCTCTCCAGTGCTCCTAATTGTAGTTTGTATTAAACTGGCTCATGTAGTTTACTGCAAATGCTATGTCTGGTCTTGTTGTAACTGCTAGGTACAAAAGGGCTCCTATTAGCTTTTGATATGGGTACCTTGCCATGATTTCTTCATCAATATCATTTGGTTTTTCAGTTTTGAAGTTTGTCTCCATGGGAGTTTTTGCTGGTTTACATTCAGCCATATTGAAACGTTTTAATAATTTTTGAATATAGGCTTGTTGTGTCAAAATAATTTGATGTGACCCCAAGTTTTGCTGGAAGTCATTTCCCACACAACGTTTTACTGGACCAATATCTTTCATCTCGAAAGATTCGCTTAATGCATGTTTTGTGATTTTGAGCCACATGCTGTTGTTTGATGCTAGTAATAGATCATCTACATATATGATAATTATTAATAATTGTTTACCTTTTTGCTTGATAAAAAGACATGGATCTTGCATTGAAGCTTTTAAACCAAGCTGTTTCAATTTAGTTGTTAAACGATTGTACCACATTAGATCCGACTGTCGCAGTCCATATAACACCTTTTTCAGCAAGCATACAGGGTTCTTCTTTTGCAGTGTTTTTACCATTTATCGGTTCTTTCTTCGATATTTTTACTATGCTTTGTTACACCCTGATAACCTGTTGGTTCACCTGATTTTATTTTATTTAAAACTTCAGTCAGCATTTCTGGTACTTCCATGTATATTACTTCTTCAAGCTCTCCGTTAAGATAAGCAGTGACCACGTCCATTGGTCAATGCTGCAAGCAAGCGGATTGATGTATAGCGTGCCACTGGCGAGTAAGTATCATGGAAATCCTCCCCTTGTCGTTGAGCGTAGCCTTTAGCCTTTGTCCATTCTATTTCATCGCGTCTGGTATTCGCTGTGGACCAATTTGGCGGAGTTTCATCTATGCTAATGCACCCCAATTCACTTATTTCAAAATTGTCGTCTTTATAATCAGTGTCAGGATTGTCGTCTATAGACTCAACATCTTTAGGTAGTTGATAAATTTTTTTCAGTCTTCCTCACAAACCCGTCTTTAACTTCTTTGGACGACCCGTACCACGTTAATACACCGATTTCGAATGTAACATGAGGTATTTATTGCTTCAGCCCAGAATGAAGGTGGAACACCAGCTTGCTTCATAAGACACCTCGCCATCTCTACAAGTGTTCTATTCTTACGTTCGGCTACTCCGTTCTGCTGTGGAGTATACGGTGCTGTTAAGCGTCGCTTTATCCCGTCTTTTTGAAGATACACGTCGAATTCCTGATTACAATATTCAAGTCCGTTATCAGTTTGCAGCGTTTTTACTTTCTTACCAGTGAATGTCTCTGCCGCGTTTTTAAATTTTTTGAATGCTTCGAATACATCTGATTTTTGTTTAATAAAGTAAATTTCACACCAACGTGATTTATCGTCAATAAATGTTACAAAATAGTTTTTACCGCCATTTGAGGTACAGCGCATCGGACCGCATATGTCGCTATGCACAATTTCTAATAAATTTTCTGTACGATTACCGATACTTTTCGAATAAATTGTGCGTGTTAGTTTTTCACTTGCACATATTTCACAATCTAGTAATTTATCTTCTGAATTTATTTTCAGTCCATATACATCGCCGTTTTTTGCAATTTGCTTTAAATCACGTTCGTTCAGATGGTCCATTCTACAGTGCCATAGGTTTATTGCACCTTTAGCTTCAGATATAAATGCACTGATTTTATGGTTTTTCATAAAATATAAATTACCATTTCGTTCTGCACTGAACAATATTTCTCCATTTTTATCAATAATACTTGCATCATTTTTACGAAAATGTGCTTCAAATCCTCTGTCTGTTATTTTTGATACCGACAACAAGTTTGTACGCAAATCCGATACATAGAGCACATCTCTTAATGTTATATTCCTTTTACAACCTTTTTCG